AACAAAATCATGGGGGCCATACTCACACCAGGACCTTGATGAATCTGACCGCAATCACGTCTAGAGCTTAGTAGAAAAAGGGCTTCGGCCTGGACCCCACTGCCCGTCGGCTGGAAACGGATGTTGGCCACAAAAAACGGCCGAGCGTGGTTGGAAAGAACTTGCGGCGCTTCGTTGGGACCCCACCGCCACCCTTGACTCTGGGCACTGGAAACGGATGGACATGCCTGAATAGGAAATCCCCCCCGGGTGTTTCCCAAAAAGGCAAGTCAGGCCGGGGCTGTGGTCCATGGCCTTCTATTGGCCTGCACCAGGACATGTCCGTGTGTGGCTGCCGCAGCCTCCCAGTCCACAAAACGGTCCCTAACAAGGGAGCGTGGTCCACGCAGTCCAGCCATCGTCTGGAAACGGATGGACATGCCTCCCCCCCTTGCTCATCTGGACGCCTCCTTGGAAAGGGAATGGAAAGCAGTCTGCGTTGAATTTCCAGACCGCCGACCGTGTAGAAACGCCCCGTCAGCATTTCTGCGACCTGCTTCCAAGCCCGGTGGGGTCTGGAATTCCTTTCCAGGCCGACTTTCGACACCCGTTTCCAACACACCAGTTTCCAACACCGGTGGGGTCTGGAAAACACTACAGCGCCCGAACTTTTCCAGGCCGCCGGGCAGTGGGGTCCAGGCCTTAGTAGAAAAAGTCCTACCATCTATTCGGGTCCAGGCCTTAGTAGAAAAAGTCCTATCCTACCATCTTCACCCGAATAGAACGCCCCGTCATTATAGCTGTATTTCGCACAACTTTCGGTCCATATGCCGTCAGTATAGCTGTATTTGGCACAACTGTGGATCCAGATGCAGCGATAATGAGGGGGCGTTCCATTCAGGTGAAGACCGTAGGGCGTGGTCCCACTAGCAAAGAGCATAGGATCGAATGCCTGAATCTGGAGGAGGTTATGGAGATGTGCAGGAAATCGAGATTGAACTGTTTTTCTGCATCTGTGCATAACACACATCCAGATTCAGGAGCTCGATCCTATCCTCTTTGCTAGTGGGACCTCGGCCCTACTGTCTTCCCCAAACTGACTTGGAAAATAGCTTGTATACATTGATGATCAGGGGGTGGGTTATGGTGGGGGTAAGACCGTACTGTGAGTATGCCCTAAATACATTAAATCGGTGGAGCAACGTGAGAGGGAGCCTTGAGAGAGGGAGATGATGACATCTCCAGGGGCTAGGTCCCACCTACACGAATTAAGCGATATTGACCGTAGATAGCAAGGATCAACGGCCAGATTCTCTCTCTTTTTTTTCTTTTCTTTTTGGGACAAATGCTCCAGTCTATTCGTGGGGACCAGCACGTGCCGGGAACCGGGCCCAGCGTCCCATATAGAGTTACGCAAGACATTTGAGATACCCGGGGCTAGGTCCCACTTGCACGAATTAAGAGATACTGACCGTAGATAGCAAAGATCAACGGAAATCTCCTAATTTGTGCAAGTGGGACCTTGCCCCGGGGCCAACGGCCAGATTCTCGTGATCCGTGCAAGTGGGACCTTGCCCCAGGATCATAGGGCTATTGGCTATGGAGGCGACACTGTAATAGAGCGTGGAAGAGAAGGTGTTGGCTATGGTAGCTAGGGTTAGTGACCACCACATAGCTATAATACCCATAGCCATGTACGGGAAGAAGAAGCGAAGGCCGAGTAAAGGAGGCAAGGAGGTGAAGAAGAAGGAGAGGTAAACCGTAACGAAGACTTAGCTTCGGCTCGGCTATGGCGAACTACCGTCTTCCCCCGAATAGAACGTGTACGGTCATTATAGAACGTATTTGGCTCACCTTTCAGTCCAGATACCGTGAAAAATGACCGTTCGTTCTATTCATGGGAAGAAGGTGCCATCTTCCTCTTACCGAGCATGGCGCTACGTCAAGAAGGACTTTGCTGTTAGGGAATGTACTCAGGCTAGAGGAGTGTTTTTTTTTGGCTAGAGAAGTGTTTTCAACCTAGAGTGAGCCATTTCAAAAAAAAGAAGGAAAAAAACACGTAGAATGAGGCAGCGTAGAGTTCCGTCTTCAGCCCGAATAGAACGCACGCACGGTCATTGTAGCTGTGTATTTGGCGCAATTTTCAGTCTGGATGAAGTGATGATGACCGTGCGCTCTATTCGGATACCGAGGGTAGAAACTGGATGGGCGCGGAATCCCTTTGTCTTGATTTTTTTTTTTTTTTTTTTTTTTTTTGTTGGGTCCGATGGACCACCGATCAGATACTACACTTGTGCAACTTCTTCAAATCAAGGACGGAGATGACTTTTTTTTTTTCTTTTTTTTTTTTCCCCAAGTCACTGGACATAGAAGACTAAGAAGGGGAGAGAAAAAAAAAGAAACGTGGACATCACTCCCTCGAGTGTTGCCCCCAACCGAAGCTTCAAAAAAAAAAAAAAAAAAAAAAGGAAGAAAGGTTCGATGGACAGAAGATTAGCATGCGCAAGGATGAAACACATAGATCCAGAAAGCCAGTTAACATATCTGAGGGGGGAGAAAAATATATACGTACATATATATGAGAAGAAGACAGCTCTTTCCCAAAAAAAAAAAAAAAAAAAAAAAGGTCCAGAAGAGTGCCAGGAATATATAGATATATATTATATTATATATGTATATTTTTTTTTTCTAATGAATATAAGTCATTGGATATAGAAGACTACCGGCAGGAACATAATTTGGGAGATTCGAAAGGTAATTGAATTGGTTGGGCCGCTTTTCCGCACCCAACTTGGATGCACCTGACCGCAATTACGTCCACAAAGACGTAGAAAAAGCCCTACCAGTGCGAGTATCCCCCCATCGCCCATTTCCTGAACGGGATTCATGTAACAATGATTGGCCAATTGACAAATTAGGCAAGTTGCAAAATTGTATAATCATACCTTTCTCTGCCTCTTGGGTAAGATCAAGTGTAGTATCTCTTCTGCTCAGTTTTTTTTTTTTTTTTTTTCCAGTTTAATATCTGATCCATGGTCCATGGGACCACATTTTGAGGAAAAAAAAATAAATAAAAAATAAAAAAAAAAATGGCAAATTGAAATCTGCAAATTGGGCAAATCTGCAAATTGGGCAAATCTGCAAATTTGACAAATCTGCAAATTGGGCAAATCTGCAAATTGGACAAATCTGCAAATTGGGCAAATCTGCAAAAAAAAGGGAAAATTGAAGAAATTGGCAATGTTTACAAATTGGCAAATTTTGTAATTTGGCAGATAGGCCAATTAAAAACAAAGTAAGGGCTTAATCAGACTGGGGCCATTTCTAAATGTATCTGATTGCAATTACACCCAGACTTGAACGAATCTGACAACGATCACGACCAGATAAGTAGTTGAAAAAAAAAACTACCGTCTTGCCCCGAACACAACGCGCCCTCATTATGGATGTACCGGACTGGAAACATAGCTTACATACATTCATTTTGAGGGTGCATTGTGTTCGGGGAAGACGGTAGGTAGTGTGAGTAGGCGCTTACAATGTCCGCTGGCAATTGGCAAATTGGCAGCAGCAACAATGCTTTTTTTTTTTTTTTTTTTTGCCCAAATTCTTCGGTCAATGTCAATGTTAATGTCTTTGGGTATTGAGGAGCATACTCACGCTAACTATAACACTTTCCTGGATGTGTCTGACCGCAATTACGGCCACTCCTGTATGTATCTGATTGCAATTACGCCCAGACAGGATATGAGGGTGATGAGATGATTGTTGCCTATAAAAGGGAGGGCTGTTAACATTGAGAGCACTCAGGCTTTTGCCGTCCTCTCCTTCTTCTTCTTCTTCTTCTTCTTCTTCTTCTTCTTCTCTCTCTCTCTCTCTCTCTCTCTCTCTCTCTC